CTTTCGTCACAGGTGACTAAAATGTTTTACCAAAAGGTTATGCTTTGGACCTTGTGACTTGTTCAGTATGAAACACTGGGTAAATTTGCAGTTTTCGGTTGAAAGTCATAATTGCAAGTGTGCAATAAAAAGACAAACGCTTAATGCATTTCTTCGATAAATTAAATCAGAACAATTATATATCTGGCTATTTTGCATGCATTTAAGAACGTTGCAGTTGTGTTTCACTTGTTATTTCCTGAGATTCATCAACTAGGCCTTTTTAGCGACAGAGGCTATTCCATGTATGAAATTTATACAATTGCGAATTGACCAAACAAGAGATTACGGGTTACTGGAAAGATGCATCATTTTTGCCGCATGTGTGCATAAGAATTATGTCGTAATATGTAACTGTTCTTTTTCAGCCGCAATCGGTAATTTGTGTAAGCTAAAAGACACCATTGTAATGACCGTCTACATTGTTTGATATTTATTATTTAAATCTTCTTTTTTGTTTGACAGAATTAATCAAAACGACGTACTCAATTAGTGCCATCCTAATAGCTTCCAATAACTTTTTTGCACTGATGAAATTTAAAAAAAACTTTAGCATGTTTAAATGAAGGATAACCAGCACGATGTCTCAGATTTTAAGAGTCAGAAGCCACTGGTGATTTTATAAAAACGTCACTGGAACGTACCTTTTAATGATGCTTGTGGAATTTTCACGACAACGTTACTGAAAACGATCGGAGGTGTTCCTTCTAAATAAACGACAATGCACACTTACGACCTGTGCCAGATTTTCTTAATTTTATTATCGGTATTTAAGTTAAGAAACATGCAAATAAACTGGGTATCGATGAAAATAGCGTTGTATTCATAACCTGGCCTCAGTCAAATGTGGATTAAGACAAATAGTCCAAATGGACCAGTTTCTCACAGACAAAATTGTACAAGGAATAACTTTACGCATAAAATTCGCAATTTACACCAGAGCTGGTGAAGGAATACACTAAATCATGTCAAACATAATGGCGGTTGTCTAAATATTTTAAAATTTGTTGTCCAACTATGTTCCTGAACTATTCATCTCAAAGTGGATTAGTTTTACTGCAGCCATTATAGACATGTGCGTGCAACCTCACGCACAGCCGCACCTTCCTCAGGATTTCGAATTGTGAGTATGCTGATTGCCATCATTTCCACTTAAACTACGCAAATCTAACACAGCATGCTGCAATTATACCCACATGAACTACCAATTAATGACTGGTTGCCCTCCCCTCAAACTCCACCGCCCCCCCCAACACAGCTAATTCGTCTGCTGCCGCCACATACGCCTGGGTTTCGAGGGTAGCGATTCGTGGATTTCATAAACTGGTCTGGTGCAATGCAACACCCATTATTGGTTACGCTTGCTACAACACAATGTAGTTACAGAACAGTACGACTGTTGGCATCACAAACATGAGTAGGAGTAAATTTAAAGCATAAAAAACAAGCGATTTTTAGCTCATGAATGCACTATAACTCTTAATTGTACTCGGCCTTCCAATGAGACAGTGCAAGGCCTAGCAAGAGGTCCTGTCCCGATTTGGGGAGACGGTGACTCATCAGTGTGCTGTCTCTGTACTGGTGCGGCAGAAGTCATTTAATGTACTAGATAAGGGGTTCGATTTTTTACGTTGGGGGTTTCGCGTCCCTGCTCCGACGAGCTGTGACACATCAAATGGAGGTCTTTTTAGGTGAATCGCAAGTCCGTGCCGACAGAAATGAGAAAAAGGCCTTGCTTTAAAATCACGCACTAGTAACCTTGTCATATTTGTCCTCTATTTCAAAAATCATGTATTTTACCATATGATACAAAAACGAAGGGCTACTTATTCAGGTAACGTGGGTTATGGGAATTTGAATGACGATACAACCGCATGAGGTAAACCTATGTAAAGTGAACAGAATTAGGCAAGATACCACCATTGTATTAATGTTCATCCTAATTAAAAAGTTAAGTTTTGGCAAGGGGAAGTTCGTATTTCCTGTTCACTCATTCCTAACATCTAGCTCATCGCGAGCTGTGTTGCCTCAGCGACACCACTTTTAATAATGCGCACACACCAATGTCTGTTAAGTCAATCAATGACAACGAATAAATGCAAAAGCGCAGTCTTCCTTTTTCTCTGGGGCACATTCTTCAAGTGCACTACAGTTGACATATGATAATAAAATTTGATGTTTTTGCCCGCATAGCAAATACTTGTTGTCAAGACTGACAACAAAGGCCTACAAGGCCCTCTGAACTCAAATCCTGCACTTTTGGTGGTATTTCTGTTGTTTTCTTGGTTGACATGACACCAGCCTTGTACTTAGGGAGTGGTGAATGTGTCTGTACGTTGCCTTGTTAGTTTGTGTAGTCCTGTGTGTTTTTCGTCATTCAGTCAATTTAACCAGAGGTCTCGTTTTTTATCCTCAAAGTGCGTATGTCATAACTTTGTTTTATTACAGGCCGATACAGAAACAGTTTTCAAGTCAGATCTTGCCTCAGAACAATCACTTACCCCCCGCTCCTGTGACACTGCAACTTTTGCAATCATTCATGGTGCTGGCGCGGGTCCTCGAAGCGATGATCGCTCTTCTACGTGCGCGTCGCCATGCCAACTGCACCTTTTATACGTTCCGAGCTCCTGCCTAATTCACGTGGTCTGGTGCGGCTGACTCGAACATAAGTACTGCGTCCCGTGATTATTAGTATTTCGATTAAACTTCAACCAAATCTACAAACACTGTGAAATTTCTTAAGGACATAAAATCAACTATGTGTCGGGAAAAAAAACACTAATTTGTTTCATATTTGCTTGATTTACAGCTAACCTAAAAATGTGCTTAAGGTTTACTTGTGGATACGTAGAATGCCAACATAATTATGTATGTTTAAATGATGTACAGGATCTGTAAAAAGCCGATTTTCCTAATTTCAGGGGTAATGGGTGCGAAAATTGGGGTGTGATTTTGGGGTTTACTTTTCCGCTTGCTGTAAGCTTTTCTGGTAAGTAAAAGACCAATATTTTTAGAATTTATTACCGAGCAGCAATATTTATTATTTGATGGACTGACAAATTTTGTGTGATTTTACACTAAAAACCCTAACGAGCTTCCTCATTGTAAAATACGATTTTGCAGAAGACAGAAGATCATTTCAGATGCTGCATCTGCTTTGGGTTTGTGTCAAGATTCATTTTTAGCCATGATTCGTCCCTTAAAAGATTTCAAGGTGCTTATTTTATTCGGTAGTATATTGTCTTTTTTACATTGCAACATCTTTCCTTTTAAAATTCTACATAGTCTTATTGCTTACTATCATAACCCTTGGCTGAGATGTTGTAGCACTTGAACATAGGTGAACCAGGCATTTCTTGGGTTAGACCACCTCGACGCTATCTTTAGAAGTTGTAAAAAATACGCTTTAGTTTTTAATGATATTATTTCACCAATCGCAAGTAGTCTTTGATCTCGATACCGCGTCTGTAATAGCGTGTTCTCAGCGGAAACACCTCGGTATTTAATTTTCGAAAAAAACCTATCTCGTTTTCATTGTGTGTCATCCAGCTATCTTGAATCACTACGAGTTCTATAAGACAAGACTAGAAACAACAATTAAGCACTCGCCCACAGAAAGCATTTACGAATGGCTAGTGTATTTTAAGGTTCCAACGTTGTAGCCTCATTCGTGCCTGACACTCAAATGACACGGACTTTTGAAAGATTAATTACCTCAGCGTAATCCAAAGGTGTCCTCTTTACGTGATTTCAAAGTTGGTAATGACAACTTCACAGTCTTGTTAACGAATTCCACTGCTTATGCGAAAAGTTGGCTTTGGACGGATTAGCAGTTGAAGGGTCACAGGACCGCAAATGTACTCTCAACAATTTCGTTTCCTCGTTGATCATGCCAAGCACTTTGTGGGTGTGAGACTCGTGATTTAACCCGATAAAGGCATAGTTTTTTTATAAATGGCTAATTATACGCATTAAATGGTCTTGTAGATACATAAATTCGCGTAGATTACGGGACCTCGTTGAGCCTAAAGGGACGTGTAGAATCCCATAAGAAACAAAAATCCCGTGAATTAACTGACTCGAATGCTACCAGTTAACTCAGAAAAGTGCATGCATCGGCTATTCAAATACTTTTGGCTAACCCCATATTTTGACAATATTCTATTTAATCCAGAAACTTGTGTTGACTAATTTCGGAGTTTATTGGTGTCAGGAGTCGCTGCTTTTTAAGTTACATTTGCACTATGATCCCGCATCTGAACCAAACTTTTAGCTCTGACAAAAGCCATAGACGTTCACATTAATTCTTAACATGACCCAAAAGCCCGGGTAAGTGCTCCGCGACACAACCTACTCCGTCCGCGATGACAACCCGTCATGCTGCAGTTGTGACTGTCAAGCATTGCTGTGATACTTAGTACTTAAGCTACACCGACTTCCGACGGAGGATGGAACTCTAATTACAGGCTCAGTGGTGGGCCGATGATACACGGGGACAGTTCTCCGCAGTCGTCTTACCCTTCCGCAGGTTAAGGACAGTGAAATGACTGAGAAAATGTCCCCCCACATAATGCAGCAAAAACAGCACCCCAACCCCCTCATTTGCCATCAGGATGATCGAAGTTTGCGACAAACGTTTGACGATAATCGACCATTCGCACTCCCACGCCCCAGATTTAAGGCCAGTACAAGTTTCATAACCAGCAGCACGTCCAATCCTTAGAGTTAGAATTAATTAGCAGTATTTAACAATGCAATTATCGAAGCCTTCAAAGAAAGGCCCTTACGCAAGAATGAGTCTCAAATGCCGCTTTCAGTATTCCCATTTAGCCACGCAAATGCTCCACAAGTCACATTACGCACAGAAATTCAAGGGAAGCACGTAAAGGTTCCTTAAATATTCAGAAACTTAAAAAAATCATAATTAACACAGCCTGTTCTTAAAAAAAGTCGCATCACAGTCAAACATTAGTATAAATGCCCTTTTCTACACGTTCACAAATCGTCTGAAGACGTGTATTGAAGAATTCAAAATTAAAGGGTTGATTAGGCGCGTAAAAGGGATTCTTCAGCACATAGTCGGTGTAGGCCTCGTAGACTAATTTGAGAGCGTCTCGTGCTGCACAGGGTATACGATGGTCTGTGACTAGTAGAAATTTAGTTCCAGTAATTGACTCATAACAGTGTATGCGGCATTCGGGCGTCTCTATAGTTTGTATACCAGAAGGCTGCTTTAAGTCCATGTTCTTTGAGGCAGACTGACTTTCTGCGCTAGATGGAATTGGTGTTAGAACTCGAGACATATAGTGGATCGCTTGAAACATGCTAGCAACAGTGATCCGATCGTTGGGGCGCAATTTAGGCGTTCCAAGGCGAATCGAAATAGGGAAGTTTGTTGGATTTGCAAAAAGCTGAAAATAAGAAAGGAACAACCATTTAGCATAATTTAACGACTTCTTGAGATGGAGCAGGAAGCCAATTCGATAGATATAAAACGCAAAACAAAATAGTGACTCCGCCATCCTTCACATTGACATTCACTATTGAAGTGCAAACGACGTATGCTCAGGTCAACTATATGTAGTACCAAATCTTAGTATTTAATATGCACTTTTAGCTAAGTAAACCGGCTAGTATTATCAAAACTTCACCCACATTCACACATTCTAGCAGTGATCATGGCAAGACAAAAGTAGTCGATTATCTACGAGCACTAGCATATTAAGTGTAATGAATTGCTAATAAAATTTAAAACAGCAAGTCATTACCTTTATACACGTTTGCCGTGTAAACCAATATAGAATATCAACATTTTGCAAACTACTCATGGAAGCACCACACCCCCCGGAAGAGAACTAGTACACACCTCCAAAATATCCCGGCCATCCTCAAGAGTGGTACCACTGGCATTAACACCGTTCACTCCAAGGACACACGAGCCCAATTTAATTTCGTCAGTTGCACCAAACACAACAGCGAGTCTGCCATCGACATTTTCAAATACGAAAGACAGAGGATATGTAAATGTTTTCTCCAGTTCTATGGTTGGCAGAGTCCGCTCGTAGTACATTTGAAGTGACCCAGACTCACTAATAACATAGACACAATATACGCTCATGTGTTGAAGTAAAAGGTATAGCAATTGTAGTGACGTGTAGCGATTTCCTGTGGTGTTGTAGTGTTGTGGTGTGGCGTCGGATTAGGGCGCAGACATGTTGGACCACCTGGCCTCAGCCAATCCCGTGTCTCTCTGCGAT